TTATTTTTTGTGAGTATGGGCTACATAGTGATTACCAAACCAGCCATGGATAGGTACACAGCAAGAAACTTTAAAGCTGAAACATTTTTTTTTAAAAAAAATTAAAACCTTTTAGAAATTCAAAAGTTACACTTCCTGACAACTATTTTAGTAAAGTATAAATCATATTCTAGAACTATAAAAGTAACTTCTAAAATTGAAACAACTAAGCCCAAGCCCTTTTTAAGGTTCTCATTATATAAACCAATTGCCTACGTTTACACTCTAAGGTCCGAAGGCCTTTTTAGCCAAGGAATTGGAGTTATCACGGAGACGGTGAACTCGTCCAAATTCCATTAACCTCTACCCACAACTCAAACGAAGTAAAGTATACAACCGGGACTTTGCAAATCCTTTGGCAGATTACTTTTTGTATACAAACCGAAAAGTACCCTAGTCTATCAAAACTCCGTTCCCACTAGACTATCAGGAATGTTACAGTGTATTGGTGTTGCTAACAAGGCATATCTACTGGACCGGAGGGCAGGAATAAATTTCATCTAGCAGAATATGTCTAGAGTTGTAACTTAATTTTAGACATGGAAAACGATTTAAGCTACCAGCCTGTATGAAAAGTAATCGTCCTAAATTCTGGTGGATAAGAATAAACTTTTTCATCTTAGTGGAACTTGTTGATAACTACAATAAGAAGCGTTAAAGTCTGACTCTAACTTCTCGGGAAGGCAGAAGAATTTGAACTAAGCACCACCTGCGTCGGGTCTGCGCAGAAAGGACCTGCTCATCTTTTTTCCCCTGGCTTGATCGCCCGTGGATAGGGGTGTCAGGCAGAGGCCCCAGCTCTGCAGAGAGGCTGGAATTTGGCCCTCCACCGAAGCCTCCGCGCAGAGATGTCCAGGAATGAACCCACCCACCACACTAGCCAGTCGCCTCATTAAAGTTATGAGAACGGAAGCGGAAGTCCCGGTTGGTCATAGAGTTCCCCGGTTCCGGCTCAGGGCCACAGAGGATGCTAGAGCGCCTGTCTTCCGCCCGCTGTGCGGAGGTCCTCGGAGCTTCTGTTTCCGGGTGCGGCGTCTGTCACAAAGCCTAGAGCTCCCTTCGCCGGTGGCGTCACCGGGTCCTCTGCGCCGCGCCCGAGGTCAGCAAGCAAGGACGGGCGCTTCCCAGCGTGCGGCCGGAGCCGGGCCTCGCAGCTCCGAACTGCACCTCGACACGTTCCGTGGCTCACACCTGTCTCCGAGTCACGGTCTGCCCTGTGAGGTGCAGCATTTGACAAGTCATTCCCCAGCCCCCACATGCCACGTCCCGAGCTTCGGAGTTAACAGTCCTCAATTTTGAAACTCCCTTCCCTCTGCCTCTATAAGTCTTTTTATTTTTTTTAAACCCCAGTTGAGTTTGCTCGTGTAAAATTAAATTTGGAGTTTCGGGTGTCATGCAGAAAGATTAAGACTCAGCACCCGTTTGATACAAAATAAGTTCATGCTCGTTAGAGTGTTTGTGGGGAAAGTGACTCCCAGTACACACAGGATACTATGGCTGAGCACGGGGCTCATATCACAACTGCTTCGGTGGCGGACGACCAGCCATCCATCTTTGAAGTGGTAGCACAGGACAGTTTAATGACAGCAGTGCGACCCGCTCTTCAGCATGTGGTCAAGGTAAGATGTTATTCCTCTGAAAGGTTTCAGGAGCGAGTGGATACAACTCAAAACATCTTATTAGTAGGTGATTAGTATAAGAGTTTGCAATGACCAAAGTGTCATTCATATCCATGACTTAATTTGCATCCAAGGAGCCCTGTACAATTTCTAAGACCTCAGGGAGCTTAGGCTATACCCCCAAAGTGAGTCATTTCAGCTAGGTGTGTTGGCTTTAGAAAGAATAAGTTAATGTGAATACAAACTGAAGACGGTCCTGAAATGAATCTTGTTTTTGCTTCAGGTTCTTGCAGAATCCAATCCTGCACACTATGGCTTCTTCTGGAGGTGGTTTGACGAAATCTTCACCCTGCTAGACCTTCTGCTCCAGCACCATTACCTTTCCAGAACCAGTGCCTCATTTTCTGAACATTTCTATGGCTTAAAGCGGATTGTAGCAGGGAGCTCAGAGCAGCTTCAGCGACCGGCCAGTGCTGGGCTTCCCAAGGAGCATCTTTGGAAGTCCACTGTGTTCCTAGTTCTTCTACCCTACCTGAAAGTGAAGCTGGAGAAGCTGGCTTCTAGCTTGAGAGAAGAGGATGAATACTCTATTCACCCCCCTTCTTCTCACTGGAAACGATTCTACAGAGCCTTCCTGGCGGCCTACCCGTTTGTTAATATGGCATGGGAAGGCTGGTTTCTTACACAGCAGCTTAGATACATCCTAGGAAAAGCAGAGCATCACTCTCCTCTGCTGAAACTGGCTGGAGTTCGACTAGGTCGACTGACAGCTCAGGACATGCAAGCTATTGCGCATAGGCTATCTGAAGCCACTGCGATGCAGGACCCTGTCAGAAGGTAAGACCTTAACATTGTCTAAAACCCTTTCACTAACAAAATTTAAAGTTGTATGTCAATCATCTGGTTTGCGCCAGTTACTAATGATTTTGTCATAGCAAAATCACTCCTTACATCCATAAACAAGGACCACCTTTCTAATGTTTCTTATAATAGGTACACACCTTGCTGCATGCCTGGTGTATGCAAGGCTCCATGGGAGGTATTGACTTTGTGTACATCATCTTATGCCTCATCACAGACTGCTAAATTAAATGCAATGGCTTCAGTTAACAGTTGGGGGAACCAACAGCTAGAAGACGCAGAACCAAGACTCAGTGCAGAGCATACAATTCTAAATGTTTTCTTTTTTCTTTTTTGGCTTTTTGAGACAGGGTTTCTCTGTGTAACATCCTTAGCTGTCCTGGAACTCGCTCTTGTAGACCAAGCTGGCCTAGAATTCACAGAGATCCATCTGCCTCTGCCTCCTGAGTGCTGGGATTAAAGGTGTGCACCACCACCGCCTGGCTTAAATGTTCTTATCCATGATGCTACACCACCCCTAGCAATGCTTATTTTCCCACAAGTTCAAAGATATATATGCATCTCATCGCGGCTAAATTACTTTTTAAGTCAACTATTTCCTTTTCTTGGTGGATTATCTTCCATTTTAAAATTCTATAAAATCATCTTTAATGCCTTTCTCAGATCAAAGCCTAATCTTTTGTTGTTAAAAACAGGTTGGGGGCGCTAGAGAGAGGGCACAGTGGTTATGTGAATGGCGTGCGCTGCTTGCTCTTCCGGAGGATCAGAGATCAATGCCCAGCACCCACATTTGGCAGTTCACAACAGCCTGTAACTCCAGATCTTCTGAGCTAACTGCATGCACATATAGAAAAGCAGACACAAACGTACAATAAAGCTTTTCCTAGGTGTACACCTAGCAGTCGGTGATGAGTGAACTACTTACAACAGACCCTCCATTCCAGGAGCGCTCAATCTTCAAACCAGTGACTCCCATCAAGTGTGAACTGCACTGAGTGACTCTGTGATCACACCCAAATAAGCTGTTTTCTCTGCCCTTTGCTCTCTTTCCCAACAGCGTTGGTGAGAGGATAAAGTCAGCTCTGAAGAAAGCTGTGGGAGGTGTCGCCTTGTCCCTCTCCACTAGCCTGTCCGTGGGTGTGTTCTTCCTGCAGTTCCTTGACTGGTGGTACTCCTCTGAGAACCAAGAAACCATCAAATCACTGACTGCTCTGCCTACCCCACCGCCACCTGTACACCTAGACTACAACTCGGATTCGCCCCTGTTACCCAAAGTGAAGACAGTGTGCCCGCTGTGTCGTAAAACCCGGGTGAATGATACAGTTCTTGCCACCTCTGGCTATGTGTTCTGTTACCGCTGCGTATTTAATTATGTGAGGAGTCACCAAGCCTGTCCCATCACAGGCTATCCCACGGAAGTCCAGCATCTAATTAAACTCTACTCTCCAGAGAACTGAACAAGGTTAGCAGAATATCTCACAGCTCAGGTTCTGGACTGTAGGCCACAGGATTGTTTCAGTGTGGCAAACAACACTGATAACTTCCCTAATTCATAACTACAGTAATTTTCAGTAACTATATGGATTCCTTTAAAAGGACATATCCACTTGATCCTAACTTTTTGCTCTCTACCAAGCTGGTTAAGCAGGAGAATCGGATGACAGGCGGTGTGAGGGCCAATGGGGACATGGATTAAAGAAAGCCTCAAAGTGTTGCTTGTCCTGAAGAGTAAGGTTTTCCTGAATGTGGCAGTATAGTATCTGCACCCAGGAGGTGGAGACAGGATTTTGAGTTCAAGGCCAGTTTAGGCCACCAGAGGGAGACTGTCAAAAAAGTAAAATAAAAGTGAGAGGCTATGATTAGGAAGAATGCAAGCTCACAGGCAAACCCAGGTTAGACCTTATAGGACAGGTGGTCTCTCTTTAGAAGGTATTTCTTTACCTGTGAAGTAGAGGCTTCATCAGACTACATACAATATGAAACACGGACTTCTGCTTTCTAGAAATACTTAGGGACATTTTAGAGAAACAACCCCTTCCAAATACCTTGACTTACTAACATCTGCTAATTATCAGTTATCAAATTAACAAATGCTAAATATCAGCATTTGAAGATTCCTTCATGAGCCGATACCTGTCTCTCTTGGGAAACAGATTAAAGAAAAAGGATTTGTTTATAGGGAGGAGTCTGGAAATTTCCATGTGAATGAAAGCTAGCAAGCAATGGTGAGATGCAGTAAAATACTTATGAAATGTTTACCGAATACTTACTTAATGAATACTTACTGAGGAGCAAAAGCTTTCTGCTTGCTCTTATGAGTTTTCAGTTTGCTCAATTGACACGAATCATCCTGGGTATTATGGAAGTTTCTATGAAACATTTAAGTAAATTTTAACAATACATGATTCTGGGAAAGAATTGTTCCATGCTGTTATGATTACTTCAGGGGTTTAAAATAAATTTTCATACAGAACACCTTTGACTTTTTGAAGTATTTCTGTATTGATTAAAGTTTTGTTTATTAAAAAGACAAATCCAATAATCAGAACAAAAATTCTGTTCTAACACAATACTGCCTTGTATGAAATAGCATTTGCCAGAAACACAACACATCAGTTGCTTATTTAGGAAAATTCATGACAGTAGGTGGACAAGCTGATGAAGAAACGGCTTTTGAAAAATCATTAATGTAGGATGAATGAAAATAATTTATAAATGCCTGGTATAATACTGTGACTCATATTCTCTGGCACCAGGAAGATGAAACAACTTTACTAGCTTTTAAAAGTCCATTCTGTGGACTAAAAATATTAATGCTCACATATACCGGAAGGGGAGATCATGGTCTTTTACAAGCTCTGGTAAAACCTATCATAACAAAGGTCTAACCCAAACAAATACCATAGTTAATTACAATACTTTTAATACAGTAAAAGTCAGTGAAGAATTGGTTCCAATTCAGGGCAGAAATGATGAATCCTCCATGAAGTTTTCAACCCTGATTTCTCACCTGGACCTAAGAAGGAAAACAAGAAAGCATCAGTAATTCAAAGGCTACAGAAGAATACACATAATAAGCTGGGATCCACACAGGTTCAAACACACCTGGTGGCAGGACAAGCACAATCAGCTCAGAGAGAAGATTAAGGGATCATGCCCTGGTCAAAGCCAGCGCCGGAGCAACGGCCATACCAGGTCAGACTATACTTCACTCATCATTGCATCATTTCATTTAACCTCCCTGGTTACCTAGGATGCCCATTTTCATGTTCAAAAAGAATTTAGACTTGCATACCAAAAGAGCTACTTTTCTTAGATGTTTCAATTTCGAATTTTTTAGAAATACTTTCCGCTATGCAGTAAGTAATTGCTATACAAAAATAAAAACTTAAGTTTTGTTTGTGGGCAGCGGACTTATCTGTTTTCACAACACAGAGCAGTGAAACATCACTCAGAAATTTTTTTAGAGCCAGGCATGGTGGTGCATGCCTTTAATCTCAGCATTTGGGAGGCAGAGGACTGTCGAATCTCTGTGAGTTTGCGGTCTACATAGTTCCAGGACAGCCCTCAGAGCTATACAGCAAGACCTTGTCTCAAATTAACAAAATTTTTGTTATTCAAATGAGTCCAATCTCCACTTATTTGGACAAAATCTTAGGGATATCTGTGAAGAGACTTATAGCCTAATTTAAAGTAATTGCTGTAGAAAAGATTCTCTACAAAATTATACATCAATTAACATAGAATTCAGCTGCTATCAAAAATAAAAAAATATAGTCAAAATGCTTGTAGTTCCAGCTACTCTAGAGGGTCAGACAGGAGGATCACTTGAGCACAGGAGTTAGAGGCCTGAGCAACGCAGGAAAACCTACAGTGAACAAATTATTCAACACAAATTTTTCTATCAGAATCTTCTAATTTCAGTTCAAAATCTCTGAGAGACTAGGATCTGCTAAAGCTCTATAGCAATTAATAGCAGAATGAGGAAGAGAATTGGTCTGAATGCCAGGTTTCTATTTTTCTACCCCTTCACTTCTCAACTCCTGCCCTTTACTAACATAGGAAAAACTACTGGCACCAGGGAGATGTCTCAGCATTTAAGAACACTAGTACCTCTTGCAGAGGACCAATAACTGACTTTAAACCCATCACCTTGACAACATTGTGATCACTTTGACAACATTGTGATTCAGTGGGTCTCCTGCCTCTAGTTCCCCTGGGCTCCAACACATATACACAGCCCAAAAACCTATAAAAGTGTGATTCAGCAGCTACAAGCATCCAATTACTCCCCATGGCCCAGGGAATAAAATCAAAATTTCTTTGCTTAGCATTCCAAGGGATTTCAAAATCACAAGTGAAGCCATAGGTCAATTCCCAGAACCATCACAACAAAAACGACCCCCAAACAAGAACAAAATTCAAGCCACGTGTAGTGATGTATACACCTGAAATCCTACTGCTTTGGGAGGCTGAGGCAGAAGAATCCTAAGTTTCAGGCCAGCGTGGGCAATACAGATCCTGTATTTTTTTTAAAAAAAAAAACTTAAAATCCAAATTAACTCACATTTGTTCTTATCTAATTAAAAGCATAACCCTAACAACTCTTATAGATCACCCAGCCCAGACTAACTTCTTAGATCTACTCTATTTGGCCTTGTGCCTTCCCTTCGATGGAAACCCTTCCTCCAGCTCAGTTCTGCCTCCCCAGTTGTGACCCTCCGAAATGCCACTTTTTGTTTGAGGCTTTATCCCAATTAATCCTAAAGGAAGGCTCCGCCCTTCTTCTGAACTACGGAAGCAGAGTTCGTGGAACCAATTCCGTTTAAAGATCCCTACAGAAAAGGGAACTGAACCCAAGCTCCTGCCATGCCCAGCACGTACGTTTCCCTAGTTCTCTGTCTGTACACATCCACCTGAAGCTTCGTCCCGCTCTCCATGCGAGAATGGCTGGGTATACTGTTGGAGCTACTCAGAAGTCTCCTTTTCTGTTAACTGCCCTGAACTGCCTTAGTTTCCTCTGACCTCCACAGTTTTCTCTTCCGTCACAGCAATCATCACCCACCAACTACGCAACAGTTCACCAGTACCGCCCCTCCCCCGCCCCAGCTCCATCTCCCCCACCAGCCCCATCTCACTGATTTCGAGGTTGACTGTTACGAGCCTGAACACAGGAGTTCAATAAATGACTTCAGTCAGCCCTATGGTCCTCGATTAGAAAAGCAGCACAATTTATAATGCCAGCTTACCTCCAACCGGTCACGCGGGCAAGGACCACACCTCGGGTATCCCCAAGCTCTCATTCGCCCATCCTCTAACACATGGCGCTCTGCACAGATCCCTTTGCAGGCCAGCGAGTGCTCACACACAGCACCTCCTCAAAGCAAAAAGAGAAAAAGTCCAAACTCCACCAACTTCGAGAGACAGAAGCCATCCTTGGTGGGGAAAGGGGACTGATGCCAGGGTGGGGGCCTGAATCGGCCTCCAGCCTGGACTCCTCATTCCGCAGTCTTGGATCAAGACTGTCAGGAAACACTTCCCGACTGCAGAGGATGACGGAACCCAGTTCTGGTACACTGCTAACTGGTCACACAGGATTCCCGCGCCCTCTCCCCAGCTTCTCTGCCGGCCTGCATCCCACAACCCAACGCACATCAAACAGCCAATCCCGCGGGAACCAGAGATTCACGTGAGAGCTTGTAAGGCGGGGCTGACATGAAGAGCAGCCAATCAAAGGACGAGGTGAAAGGCTGAAAGACAGGGGGTGGAGCTGGCGTAATGGCGGAGGCTGCTTTCCTGGTCCTTCTAGGCTACCGGGCCTATGGTCTACGAGTCAGGGCTGTGTTGTTCTGTACAGAGAGCGATGCTGTTTTTCTTCTCCCTACAATACTCTGTTCATGAGATTCCTGGTGACTGTTAGGCATAGTGATTTTACGCTTGCCTCGGTAGAGAGTGAGGGAGAGACGAGAGACCCCTGTGTTGAACTTTTTTAAAGACAATTTTTTTAAAGCAATTTATTTATGATTGTGTATGTGCGTTTTGCTTGCGTGTTTGTCTGTGCACTATGTCAGTGCAGAGCCCGCAGAAGTCAGAAACGAGTGTCATTTGGAACGTGAGCTATCATGTCGGCGTGGGTAATAGGTGGCCATTTTCATTCAAACTTCTGCATAGGTGTTGCTGGTCTTGAACCTTTGATCCTCCTGACTCCACCCCCCAAGTGTTGGTATTACAGGCATGCACCACCACCCCTGCTTTACTGACTTAATTTAGGGACAGGATTTCTTTTCTTTCCTTTGTGGGGGAGAGGATTCGAGACAGGATTTTTCTGTGTATCTTTTTAGAAACAATTTACTTTTATTTCTGTATATGCATTGGTGTTTTAACTGCATGTATGTCTTTGTGAAGGTGTCCGATCCCCTGAAAATGGAGTTATAGACAGGTGTGAGCTGCCATGTGCTGGGAGTTGAACCTGGATCCTCTGGAAGAGCAGTCAGTGCTCCTATCCTCTCTAAGCCATCTCTTCAGCCCCTTCTCTGTGTATCTTTAGCTGTCCTGGAACTCACTTTGTAGACCAGGCTGGCCTTGAACTCACAGAGATCCGACTGACACTAACTTCTGAATGCTGGGATTAAAGGCAGGCACTACCACTGTCCAACCAGGATTTATTTTCCGTTGATGGTCCTAACAAATTACCACAAACCTGGTAGCTTAAAATGACAGAAATATGTGGGGTATTTTATTTTTTAAAGATTTATTTTTATTTTATGTGTATGGAATTTTGGTTGCATGTATGTCTGTGCACCATGTTCATGTGTGGTATCTGAGGAGATCAGAAGGTATTAGATTCCCTGGAACTAGAGTTATGGATGCTGGTGAGCCACCATGTGGGTTCTGAAATGAACTGAGATTATCTGTTGTGGGATAGTTGTACACTGTGTGAAGATGTATTTGCTGTGACTTATGTAATAAAAAGCTGAATGGCCAATAGCTAGGCAGGAGGTATAGGTGAGATTTCCAGGGAAAGAAAGAAAGAGTTGGGGGCTGGAGAAATGACTCAGCAGTTAAGAGCACTGACTGTTCTTCCGGAGGTCTTGAGTTCAAATTCCAGTAACCACATGGTGACTCACAACCATCTATACTGAGATCTGATGCCTTCTTCTGGTCTACAGGCAGACATGCAGGCAGAACACTGTATACATAATAAATAAAATAAATCCCCCCCAAAAAAAAAACAAAGAAGAAGAGGAGGAGGAGATAATTGAGGTGCAGATAATTGAGGTCTCCAAAGAGACCTGGAGGGAATTGTACATACAGAATGAAAATGGTAAAAAGCCATGAGGCAAAATGTAGATTAATATAAATAGGTTAATTTAAGTTATAAGAGCTCATGAGACAAGCCTAAGCTAAGGCCAAGTTGTTCATAATTAATATAAGTCTCCATGTCATTATTTGGGAGCTGGCTGGCAAAATAGAGAAAAATTCCATACAGTCATGTAAAAAAAATCAATTACTTCCAACTACTAAGTTAGACGTATCTGTAGTCCCAGTCAGTTTTTTCTTTCTTTCTTTTTAAAAACTTTTAATGATTTATTTTATTTGCATTGGTGTTTTGTCTGCATGTGTGTTTGTGTAAAATTATTGAATCCCCTGGAACTAAAGTTTCAGACAGTTGTGAGCCACCCTGTAGGTGCTGGGAAGTGAACCAGGGTCCTCTGGGAAGAACAGTCAGTGCTTTTAACTGCTGAGCCACCTCTCCAGCCCCTTTTTCTTTTTTTTTTTATAGTAAGAGGTTCTGATGGAAAACCCCCTTCAGCCAATGACCTTTAAGAGACTGGACCAGGTAAGGGTGTGACTTTTTGGGTACCCAGAGAAAACCTCCTGTCTGCCCAGCTCTCACACTCTCTTGTTTCTGCAACTCCCACTCCTGTTCCTATCTAACACAGGCAAAAATCACCATGAGGCTGCAACTGCAACACCTGCTGGCCGGTAATAATTTTTACACCTACTCCAATTCACTGTAATTGCCTAAGGACAGGTAAGATCTGTAAAGCTACAAAAACAATTACCAATAACATAGCTATTCAGGAGTTCAATAATTATTTTGCTTATTCTATGGATGGTATTCTGCAAGGCTTATGTGATTTTCCTTATACATCCCTTTATTTGGTTCTAGGGATTAGTTTTATTTTTTTCATATTATCTCATTAAAAATGGTTTGATGGGCTGGAGAGATGGCTCAGAGGTTAAGAGCACCAGCTGTTCTTCCAGAGGTCCTGAGTTCAATTCCCAGCAACCATATGGTGGCTCACAGCCATCTATAATGAGATCTGGTGCCCTCTTCTGGACTGCAGACATACACGCAGGCAGAACCCTGTATACATAATAAATAATAAAAAAATAAATAAAAATAAAACAAATAAAAATTGTTTGATTACAGAGCCAAGAATGGGGCATTTTTAGAAATGATACAGTCTTTACAGACTAATAATGAACAGCTAGTTGGGAAAATCAGCACTTTGGAGAGGGATACCATCAATTTGATGGACAGAATCCAGTCAGTGTTGGAGGGTGCTGAGACATTATCTGAAAGAATTTGTGCTGCAGAATTTAACAATCGGAATCTGTTGAACAGTCATGATAAATTAACGGAAAAGGTATCTCTCCAGGAAGGTAATATGCACACTGTAAAATTATGTCCAAGAATGAGATATTATCTTTACTGAACAAATTTCATACCTTGGAATCCTCAATAGAGGTATTAGAACAGAACACTGGATAGGAGATCCAGACTTTACAAAAGACAGTGGTAAGATGATTTGAGAAGATTAAGGAATTTATTAAAACTTATGAGCAGGAACAGAAGGTACAAGGACAGGATTTAGCCTCGTAAGTATGTGCCAGACCCTGGAATGACTAATCCAGAGTTATAACTGCCTATGTAGTAATTTCCTTGGAAAGATCATCGGTCACAAAGTACCCTAAGGTAGTCAAAGAGTTACTCACGGGAACCAATACATATGAGTGATCTCAAAAACATTAAACAAGCAATAGTAGCTCATGGACTACATTCAACATGTGTTAGGGAAATGATGAAAATGTGGGCTTCAAGTAATAAGACTACTCTACACTTTGGCTTCAGTTAATCTCAGCAGTCCTGGAAGATGGACCTCAGCTTCTTTGGAAGTGTATTGGAGAGAAGAGGCAAATTTTTTAGAACAACAGGGGAAAGCAAAAGGATTTGAGACTTTCCAAGATCAAATTCTTGGCAAGGGCTATTACTCTGATCCTCAGGACCAAGCTTTCTACAATAAACACACCTTGACCCTATGTAGCACAGCAGCTTTGAATGTTTGGGACAGGATTAAGAAACCAGAAAGAGAATCAAATCATATATTAGGGTTAAACAGAGCCAGAGAGAACCCTTTAGTGACTTTTTACAAAGATTAACTAAAACTCTACAAATAGGAGTAACAGATTCAGAAGCTAGATGTGTATTTATTGAATCTTTGACTTTTTAAAATGCCAACTTAAAAAGCAGAAAGATCGGGGGCTGGAGAGATGGCTCAGAGGTTAAGAGCACTGCCTGCTCTTCCAAAGATCCTGAGTTCAATTCCCAGCAACCACATGGTGGCTCACAACCATCTGTAATGAGGTCTGGTGCCCTCTTCTGGCCTGCAGGCATACACACAGACAGAAAAGTGTATACATAATAAATAAATAAATATTTAAAAATAAAAAAAAAATTTAAAAAAGCAGAAAGATCCTTGGGCCTTTAAAGGTCAGATTAGCACCAATGGACAAAACGATCTTGCATACAATTAATGTTGAGACATTTGACTATAGTACTGAAGCTTGGGTAGGGGAAGCGATTTCCAATGGTATGAAGAGACACCAAAATGCCAAATGTTTTAATTGTAGTAGAATAGGACATCTGAGAAGAGATTCTAGACAAGGAATTCCTAAGAATAATGTCTCCTCTAGGAATGACAAAAATAAGAAGTATAGGTCTCAGCCTTTTGGTGGAAGTGTGGGAAAGACTGATATTGGACCAATGAATGTAGATCGACAAAAGACAGACAAGATAAGTTGATACCATTGGGAAACTCCTTGAGTGGCCTCTCACAGGCCCCCATGTCAAACATGAACAAGTCATCCCCAGTAACTGTGGAGAACATGTCTCACCAGGAAAATTTTAAAAAATCCAGTGCCTACTGTAAAAAAACATACTGTTCTGGATGATGGGATAGCCATGAAGGATGAATCAAAAACTCCAGTAGGAAATAGGAAACATATATTTTGGCAGACTTCTATAAGTGATCAAAGACCAAAGCTAAGAGTGTGTATAAATAACATTGTAATTGAGGGATTAATAAACATGGGTGCAGATGTGAGTATCATTACTCCAGAATCTTTGCATCTGAATTGGCCTCTTCAAGAGGCAGATATTCAATTCTTAGGAATTGGAACCCTATCTCAAGTAAAACAAAGCTTGAGATGGGTTGAATGCGTAAGACCAGAAGGACAGAAAGAAAGGCCATATGTAGCTAATATTGCGGTGAATTTATGGGGCTGTGACCTATTGCAGCAATGGAATACCCAGGTTAACATTCTGGCAACCCCAAGGACTCATGTTTCTGGGGAAAATATTATAACGTACTATAGACAAAGGTCACCAGCCATTCAGGCTGTATAAGAACACAAAGCAACTAGCAAACCTTCAGAGGTACTAACTACCCTGTCTTTAAAATGGATAACTGAGAAACCAATAGGGGTTAAAAAAAATGGCCTTTAACAAAAGAAAAACTGCAAGCCTTGGAACAGCTGGCACAGGAAAAACTATATGCTCGGCATATTGAAGAGTCAATCATCCCTTGGTATTTGTTGTTAAAAAGAAATCTGAAAAATGGAGAATGGTGACAAATCTAAGAGGTGTCAACAAGGTTATTCAACATACGACCCCTCTACAATCTAAAATTCATCTGCCTTCTCTATTATCAAAAGGATGGCCTCTCATATTTATTGATTTAAAGAATTGTTTCTTCACTATACCTTTATAAAGAAAAAAGGACAGGGAAAATTTTGCCTTCACAGTGCCTACTTATAATAATTCCCAGCTTACTAGGAGATGCCAATGGACCGTCCTCCCACAGGAAATGCTCCCCCCTCTGTGCCAATACTTTATAAGTCAGCAATTTCCTAAGTCTACAATTCACCATTACATGGATGACATTTTGTTATCTGATTCAAATGCAGATACTTTAGAAAGAATGTTTGAAGAAATAAAGAAAGTTTTGCCTAAATGGGGATTACAAATTGCTCCTGAAAAAATACAAAGAGGAGATTCTGTCAATTGCCTAGTTTACAAATAGGTTTACAGAAAATTAGAACACAAAAGGTACAAATTTGGAGAGACCAATTGTGGACTCTTAATGAATTTCAAAGATTGGTAGGAGACAATTCCAATCTATAACCGGCTGTTTGGATAAAAATTTATTCAAATAAAACCTTAGATGGTGACAAAGACTTAAATAGTCCCAGGGAGTTAACAGCTGAAGCAGAAAAAGAATTTATGGTTATTGAAGAAAAATTAAATGAGGCACATGTGAATAGGGTAAATCCAAATCTTAATTGTGTTCTAGTCATATTGCCTTCCAGAATTTCTCCTATGGGTATTTTTTTTTTCGAGACAGGGTTTCTCTGTAGCTTTGGAGCCTGTCCTGGAACTAGCTCTTGTAGATCAGGCTGGCCTCGAACTTACAGAGATCCGCCTGCCTCTGCTTCCCAAGTGCTGGGATTAAAGGCATGCGCCACCAGCGCCCGGCTCCCCTATGGGTATTTTAATGCAAAAGGAAGATATTATCTTAGATGGATCTTTTTGCCACATAAATCAAGTAAAAAGTTAAAAACTTATGTGGAAAAAGTCTCTGAATTAATTATGAAAGGAAAATTGAAACTTTGTCAACTAGCAGGTATAAACCCAGTAGAGATTATAGTGCCTTTTACTACTGATGAAATTCAAAGATTATGGGAAGAATGAACTATGGCAAAGAGCTTGTGCTAATTTTTAGGAGAAAATTAATAGCGATTATCCCAAAAGTGATAGATTAACCTTATAAAAGGAACTATTTGGATTCCTCCCTGAATTGTATGTGACACACCAATAACTGGAGCCTGCACATTTTATACTGATGCAATTAAATCAGAAAAGAAAGGTTACAAATCAGGAGAATTAAGTAAGGTAGAACAAAGCCCTTATAATTCTGTCCAAAAGACAGAGTTATATGCTATTCTCATGGTACTAAGGGATTTTAAAGAACCTCTCAATATAGTTAGTGACTCACAATATGCAGAAATAGTTGCCTTGCATATTGAAACTGCAGAATTTATACCAGATGATAGAGAATTTACTTCATTATTCATTCAGGTTCAAGACACAATCAGGAATAGGCTTTATCATATATATTATAAATATATATATATATATATATATATATATATGTATATATATGTGTATATATCACACATACAATTCCATATGGGTCTGCCAGGTTCTCTAGCACAAGGTAATGCAGAAATTGATCAAATATTGACTGGAAGTGTTCGGAAGGCCTTAGAATTTCATAAAAAAATATGTCAATAGTAAAGGTTTAAAGAAAATTTCCTACTACATAACAGCAAGCTAAGGAGATTATAAATAGATGTCCTACTACTTTTTCTATAACCAAATACCATTACCTGCAGGTAGTAACCCAAAGGGTACTCAAAGGAATGAGACCTAGCAGATAGAGTCTTTCACTTTACAGAATTTGGAAAATTAAAATATGTGCACTACACCATTGACACTTTTCAGGTTTTCAATGGGCAAGTGTCTTGAACTCAGAAAAGGCTGATTCAGTAATTATGCATTTATTAGAAGCTATGACCATTATGGGTATACCTGTACAAATAAAGACAATGGTCCAGCATATGTGTCTAAGAAAATGAAACATTTTTTGCTAATTATAATATAAAGCATATTGCAGGTATACCAAACAGTCCTACAGATCAGGCAGTTATAGAAAGATAAATTGAACTATAACATATATGTTAAACAAACAGAAAGGAATGAAAAATACCTCCAGAAATATACTGTATAATGCTTTGTTAACCTTGAATTTTCTTAACACTAATGAAAAAGAATCAACAGTAGCAGAGAGACATTGGATAATAAAAAAAAAACTTCTCAGTTAAATCAGTGTATTTTA